TCGCTTGCCAGGGGTTTCGGTAAATCCTTTAATTTGGCTCCCCGATCAAATAATACAGCGGAGGGGCATCGAGCGAGCGATATCGCGTACAGTGGTTTTATTGCAAGCGCCATCTGCCGCGCGACGCACTCTGTAGATGGAGAGATAATTTCGCTTTTAAAGCGAAGGGGCGACGGAGCGTTCATTGTGAGTTGTTGGGTTCATTTAGACAATTCACAACGCTGTATACGTCTGTAGATGTACGCGATAGCGCTCCCATTATGCGGGACCCCTAACGACCGCCTGCATGCTGATGTGAACACTCAACAGTTATAATTTGATAAGACAAGTCACACGCTACAATGCGCACATATTCCATGGAAATATGCGTGCGCGGAAAACTTATTCGAATAGAAATAATTATTGTTTACAATTAGATGAATCGACATTACGCGATGTCGTTTATCAAATTATTTCTTATAATAACATATGAAACTTAATATAGTGATACACAATCTTAGTAATTTATTGCGTTATTAGAGCCGAAATTACTATGACTTTTGAACGTTAAATTTCTATCATTAACATAATAACATACATACTTCTTGTATGCTAAGATTAGAAACCCATTACCCACTCAAACATGTCATATAAATTTATGATAATGTAGATGTTGACGTTTTAAAAAAAATTAAACACACAATAAAGCCTTAGTCATAAAAAGTTGCTTAAAATTAATATTTGAAGTATATTTACATTTAGGTAAACTTTTACAAACATGTACACAATTATAATAAGTTAATAAGACGCTAGATGTACGGTTGGTGAAGTTAAGTACAGTAAATACTTAAGTAGCAGGAATAAAGCTAAGCGTATAATCACAGGATTTTTTTCATTACTTATATGCGGCATATACGGCTTAACAAAGCCACTCTTTAATTACAATTACCTAGCGTGGACGCGGATAGTTGATGAGAAGGTAGCCGAATGACAAAAAGCTCGGTCGAAAACAAACAGGATTAGACCGAGTCCCCCTGTTGTATCATTATAAATAGTAGCTAAGCGGATCGGGCACGTGCAATGTTTTTATCATCGAGAGTCGGCGGGTGAGCTGTGGACGCACCCCTAATGCAAGGGTAAACAATCCTCCGCCCCGCGTATGAATAATTTGAACGCATCACGGCAAGGGACAGGCGGCGCGGAATCGCAATAGCCCGTAAATTATTTAATTATACGGACCAGCTTCCAGTTTAATTTATACGAACTTGTGTAAAATTTACTTTTACGGTTAAAATGTGCAAATTATGGAACTCTGTTAAGTTTTATAATGAAAACTTGACGATTACTATATTATATTTCAATTAAATTAAAAAAAAACATAAAACAGAAACACTAAATCATGTTGACGTGTTTTTGGTAGTTATTACAAACTTTTAACTGTTATTTAAGTTTTAAAGCAAAACAGCACGCCGTAATAGTAAATATTGATTCCTAAAGACACAATATACGTATATTTGAAGCGAGGGAGAAGTCGTTTTTCAACGCCCAAGTTTCATAACGTTCGGGAGAGTGGTGTGCCCCGGAGCGTACGGCCGCTCGTAAAACAACAAAGTATTTCGTTGACAAGCCGCTGGGTGCAACCCGTATTGCAGTCTCTTTGTATCATTCCGAAGCTCGTGTTGCTCTAGGAAATTATTGTATAAAATTCAACCTTACCTTTTGTGTGTAAACAAACAATTAGTACAAAATGTGTATTGCCACATAGTAAAAATCAAATCGCATTGCACTTCAGCACATTATATAATATGATAATAAGCAGATAGCACAACTAATGTTTAATTAGATAAATGTATAATTTTATAACATTAGAGACTCAGTGCACAGATTAAGTAATAACCATTAACCCCTAGTATCAATGCGGAAACTATGCTATAAACGTCGACGTGAAAGTTCGCCGGGGCGTGAATAATGACCCAGTGCGCAGAACAATAACGTTCCGTGTCGATACAAGCACAAAGACGCAACAATCAATTCACGCCGTAAGTAGGTGTAATTCGGCACGGTCCGACTACGCTCCAGCCCCGCGTCTAACAAAAGAAAATCTTACCAATTAGTCGTCGTCAGAAAGAGCGGAAAACGCGCGTTAGACGCGGTCACGCGGACCGATGCGGTGCGGTCACGCCGCGCTTGGTGCTAAGCAAAAATATGTCTTACAGACGCGACCCAAATATTCCATAATAACGTTGTGACCTATTTGATTTAGACCTAAAAGCAAATACAATAGGTTATAGTCGTCGTAACTAAATTGTTTAATGACAGTTTTTTTTTCGCATTTAATTTCATTGCTGTCCCCACTTTTTAAGATCCGGTATTTTTTAATTTGAATTAAATGATATGAAAATAATTTTATCTCAAAGCATATTCTGATACAAGGACTCTCAGGATATAATCGCTTCTCTAAAATTTCATAATATGCAAGCAAGTCATTAATGTTGATATAACTTGCTCGGTGATGAAGAAAACATTATTAAGAAACCGGCATGTCAAGGAAATTAAAATATTTACGAAAACACACTCAATGTTTCATCATATTTAAACTTTACTCCAAAACTCTTTCCGAAAACAGAATTCTAAACAGCTGGAATATAAAAAGCAGTCTGTTAATTTACTTTATCTTCAAGAACAATCTAGACAGCTTTTTAAGCGATTTTTAATAATAAAATTATCTCAAACATTTCTATTATTACAATCATATTGTTAAAAACTAAAAGCCTAAGCTCAGATTACGTCAAATAGTGACGAGTGTTAAAAACATATAAAATGACCAAGAGTTATTTGTAGTCAATTTCATATTTAATCGTGCAAAAAATGCAATAATTGAATGTTGAACCGTCACGCAATAGCATACCTACACAAAAACAAGCACAATGTCGGACAGAAACGTAAAAACATCGCTTGTTATTTCTATTATGTTGAACGCGATGCGGAGCTCAACAGAGGGGTACATTGCTGGTTCTCGCTTGACTGAGCGTGTTAAGTGCTAATGTAATAATCCATTACAATAAAGCGCAGCAGTATACGCTAAATAGCGCATTCAAGCATTCAGCGGCACTGCCGCCATCTGTCCGCCACAATGGCAAACAATGCACCCTTCTAACTCACCCTCGCTGCTAGTTTGCTATCCCTATACAAATATTGCCCGGCGATGCCCAAGCCCTGGATAATTTTGTGAACGCTGTCATCAATAATACATGAGAACTGCCGTTGTTGTTTGGATTGGCTTTATTTGCGTAAATTTTGTAAAATAGAGGACAAATTTTATCAACCTGCGTAATCTTTCCTACCTGAATTTTTTTACGAGGCAACTACCTTTATCGTCAACTTATTGTTTCAGTATTAGTAATTTTTTTTAATTGTGGAATATAAGCATACCAAACGAAGTGTCGACTAATAGTTAACTAATTGATAGAATCAGGCGTTACTTTGCGGAAATTCATTATAATAAAGATATTAGTATTTAATTATTTAATTACTGACTTAGCGGTCAGCCGCCGTAGAGTCTACATCACCCGAAGATGCCTCGTGTAGAGGCGAAACACGTAACATATTATCGTCGATGGTGTGTCTTTGATGGAATAATGGTGTTGAGAGTAGTGGTGCCGGGAGTAGTGGCGTTGGAAGTAATGGTGCTAAGACTAGTAGTGACGGGATTAGTGCATGCAATTGAGGGAGGGCGGGAGGTGCTCTTCAATCCAGGTAAAACACATCATTGTATTTAATTAAGCGGAGGGTTTCGAATTAAATAGTAATATCTTTATTACTAGTTAACTGTTAATATTTTCGACATTCAAGCTCTATAATACAGTGCATGTGCAACATGTTTGAAAATGAAATATTAACGTATTTAAATATTAATAAATTTAAAACGCGATCAAGATTTTATAAATAAAGAGAAAAATCTTCAGACGACATAATTTGTCTAAAGCGACTTATCTTTTCTTTACTTACAAAAGAGAAAAATATGAGCTGAAATATCCCATGCTATTATTAGAGCCGTAAATTGATTTGGTTTTCGCTTTGAGGACGTGCTAGTACGGTTATTATTAAAAGTAGGGTTCTAGCACGGCGGAGGCCAAAGAGTGTAAAATCAACAGATTACAGAAGGACCCCCCCGAATCACCCCTGCAGCGAGAACCCCTGGCGCATAACAGTAATATCTATTCGTTACGTACCCTATTGTAACTCTGCGGTTAGGGTTGTCGAGTGAATAATATAAGGGATTAGAAATTTAATATTGAAGCGAAGGTTTGTTGTTGAAAGCAAATAGTTAAGCGTTTGTTTGTCAAACGTTATAAGTGGATAATTCTATTAAAAAAGACAGAAGAAATTTTGTAAAACCAAACGTACCATTTTAGGTTTATGAAATAGTGTGTTCATGAATTGTGATAATCGATTAATCTACTTAATATACCTATTTAATGAGTTTTTTTAAATTTATCACAACCCTAGATGCCTGTTTTATAAATTCTCTTAAGCGTCCCTAACCAAAAGATATATTATATTGTTCGCTTCAGGCGCACACATTTGGGGGAGTTTGTTCCCCCTATCATATTTCGATTATAACGCAGAGTATTGAAATAAACAGCATCACAATATTTCGTCGCTGGCTGCGATTTTGAAACAAATACGTCCAAATTTTTTTGTATATGTATTTATTTTTATTTAATAATTAGTTTTTGCTGCATTATGCAGGCGCTTAAGACACAGAAAATACACATGGACACACAATCAAATATTTGTACTAGTAATAAAAATGTTTGGGAAAGTGCATTAGTTTATGCTTTACTTTAGACGTTTATAAGTATAGGCCGAATTGTTTGATTTAGAAATTTTATATTTTATGACAAAAAAAAACACTTGAAATTGCTGAATGTGGAAACATTTTGATTTTATCTTGAAACAATTGGCTCAATTTATTGCTTTTTACGACGAAGAGAAGTTATTTAAAACGAAATAGATGACTACACAGTAAAATAAGACGCACCTACAATATACACTAGTGAGAAAGTTGAGATGATTTTACGTACCTGTTTATGCATTTCCACATTGAGGCCGTACGACATTTCATAGTACTGAAACACAAATGGTACAAATTAGTGGTATACACTTCACCCGAGGATACGCGGGTATGCTAAATGTGACATAGATAGTTTTGGCGCGGATTAGTTTCCTCAAATCGTTGGGGGGCAAGTGACTAAACATCCGCAGCACTGTTTGGAAGCCCGCCAGAAGTGTTTCCGACACACAAAAATGCTTGCGAGAATTTCCTCTGGAGCATATTAAAATAAATTGCAAGCGATTTGGCAACACTTAATCGTGATTCATATCGGAATGGTAGGCAGCATGCGGCAATGAAAGCCCGCCAAATGTCTGTAAGACTTTTTGTAGTATGTTGGCAGTTTTTGCGGTTAACGGTCCACTTACGAATTGTACTTTACTGTTTTGGGCAATTTAAAATAGATAAAACAGATTACGAAGCCATCTTGTTTTCACAACAAAAACTAAACAAACCAATGATTCCATGTTATGATTAATTAAATGAAATTAATAAATAGGTACTGAACTATAAAAGTTGCAAGGTCCCTGTACAAAATTATGTTATCCCAAAATAATTGAAACTGTAAAAACAACGATATTATATTATATACACAACGATGTAAAGAAAAACTTAACTATAGTTAGAAGACCGCGTAACGTCAAACGATGTTTAATTTTAAACAGATGTTCGGCTTGTCGCCTCTCACACTCATCATTATCGATAAAAATAATAGAGACTTGGATACACACGACTGATTCATATGAAATAAATTTACTGTAATATGGGATACGTTTACAGAGTGTTTAAATTTAATCTTTTAATAATATAAGATTTTTTTAATAATTTAAGTAAGATATAACTACATAACATATGCTTTTCTATTAATAAAGAAGAATCAACTTTTAAAAGATTTAACAAATGTTACTCACCATTACATAATGCCTTTGTATTTCGATTTTTTCACTAGCCAACTTCTCGCACTCTAATTTTAAACTGTAACAACAAAAATAAACATTATGTTTTTACTAACATTTAAAATGCAATGTTTTTTTTTAAATAACTATATGGCCCTTGGTATTGTGATAATGTTACAATAATTCTGCCAATGTCCGGTCTTCGGTCTGTCACACCTTGTCTTGAGGCTTTCCGGTGGAAAAGGAGTTAGTGGTTATTAGGTGAGATATAAAAACAAAGCAACTAAATATATGAATTGAGGACCACACAATATAGAGTAAAAATCTAGTTAAAGGAGAGTATTAGCCTGGGCAGGGAATACAGAATTAGGTTAAGCTAAATTTAGTACACAATAATTAAATTTAGCTTAACCCAATTCTATGTTCCCTGCCCAGGCTAATACTAATATATAATCTATCCTAGGTTAGGTTACTTAGGTCAAAATGCATTGTCAATTCCAAGGTCTGTTTGACATTTGACATTTAAAGTATTAACAACTTATAAAATATTTAGAATATTTGAATTAATTGAGCTATGTCACTCCATACGCTACGATCAGATTTTCTCTGATTGATCCATAACGAGAATCAACAAGAATACACTGGCATAGACCAGCGATAAGCTTAACTTGCTATCGTCACATTATAGCTCGAAGAACAGACAAACGATAGGAAGGGAGGGTTCTCGAGAGACAACGTCGTACTTCTGAGCAGTGTAGGTCTGTTTTACTATAGACGGAATAACGTACCGGTGAGATATGCAGGGAGTCGGTAGATGCACGCGGCTACGTAACTAAGGAACGGACTTTTTTATATGTGGTACAGCCACGCTGCAGCTATATTATAGTTGTAGCACGAATGCGTCGGCCCGATTAGGGTGGGACCACGCTCTCATAGAATACCAGCTTAAAATAGCACCTCCATGCTACTGTGTTTTGTATGGTGAGTGTAGAGAACCCGAGACCATTTTTACCGGATACGAGGTATTTCATCTTAGTCCTCAAGGTTAACAACATATCTACAATTTGAATAAAGGTGACAAGATGTCTATGGGTAACAGTATTCATTTACCATCAGGACCTTGTGCTCGTTTGTCAGCCTTTTTCTATAAAAAGAGGATGCTTTGCAATTTGTGGACCTGTTAAGTATTGGAATAAGCTGTATTGAACAAGTGACAATTGCTGCAAAGCTGTATTGTAAACATTGATAATGAACATAGTTCATTTCCACTGATAATTTTATAAAAGTAATTTGTGTCGCCACTTCCATTACAAACAATAAATACCTATAAGCAAACAGTATGATCAAGTAAAAACATTAATTTATAGCAACAAACAGTTATTAACGTGGCACTTATCTTGATGGTTAGTTTAAGCGGCACTTGTAAATCAACAAGATAAGGTTTTATAGCGATATAACTCGCTTAATAGTCGTTATCGATTCGCCTAGGTCAGTCTCGTAATCGATATTTTTATCGTCATACTTCGAGTCGGTAATGTTTGTAGGCTACCTAAATCCAAATGCTCAGTTATTAACAACGTGTTTAACTTGTCTACATTGCGATAAATACAGTTTGATACAAGGTATTATAATTAACTTACCTACTTCTATTTTCACTCCATTTGTGTTGTATATTACCGTATCCGGGGCAGCTTATGCTATTAGCACTTACTTTAAATCTCCCCATGGCTTTACTACAATTTTATGTACTTATTTAGCAAGTGCTCGGCGGTGAAACAGTATTTGTAATAAAATAAAGAACATGAGAAATCCACCAATAAACGTTGAGGCAGCGCAAAATGGCGAACCAAAACACTGAGGTTGTTTTAGAAAAGCGAGGCGACCAGCGCAACGGTGGGATTAATAATATAGGCTGTTACTTTATTTTTTATTTTAAAATAACCCTTATTATATTCATTGTTAACATGGTGACATGATACTGAAATTATACTACCTTAAGATATACTAAAAAAAATATAAACATGTTGATTGTACCTTTTAACGAAGAAATTAAAAACGTTGAGAAACGTTGCTGTGATAAAAAAAGGTTAACCCCGTGTTCACAAAAGGGCAGGTAAGGAATGATTTTACCGATGTCCGACGACAAAAGGAAACCCGGATGAGCCTATTTTGAATGTTTTTTTCCTTAAATTTAAGGATAAATCGTTTTAAGTGACGTACATTTCAAGGAATTTATGTATATTGTGAAGGTTCGTATTAGATTTATTAATTGGAATTAGTAATATTTCTCTAAATAGTACAAAGGCAATATTTGTATGGTGAACATTTCATACCATGTAGGCAAAATTAAATAAGAATTGTCGCCTTGCAGTGTGACTTTTAAATAATGTGACAATTATATATAATATTTCGCAACTTTAAAATTTGTGAATCAAACACCACGGTGTACTCTTATTTCTGTCGGAAGCATCTATTAATAACTTCACTCTGGATTTATTATTGTGGATTCTTAACTTAAAATACTCTTTTGTAACTTACTTGTGATACTGGGCTTGTAGGAAATTGAATTCTTCTTTAATTCTATCGCAGGATTCACCCACTGTGAATTTTATAGGTTGCCCAGGTTGTGGTGGACCCTGCCAAGAAAAAAAAACAACTTTATAAATAACAGTTACATAAAACTAAGTAGGTACACTACTACTACTACTAGAGTATCTACTACTTTCCTATCAATTTCCTCCCATTTTAATCCCGTGTTTACTGACACAAGCTTTTGGCTACTTTTTGTACCTATTTAACATATTAGGTGTTTACAATTAAATATTTACATTATATGCGATTTATATTACGATTTTATTTATATAAAACAGGTGTCTATACCATTGAGACGTGTAAAATTATGACAATATATTTAACGTGCTGTGGGGCATAGTACCTTTGACCACTTTTAAATGGTATCAGGGTGGCACGGGATAATAATTATCAACAATAATAAATATTAACAATAATAAAGTTTATTACTGCTTGTGATATTGTGTGTAAAGTCTACAGCGAGTTTAATAATAATATTGATTCGTTTAAATTTTATTATTGTTGATAGTATCGATGTTCGATACTATCAACAATAATAAAATTTAAACGTTTTTTTTTGTTTAGGATTATAAACTATTAAAATACTTTTATTATATACTTTATTGCTGGATAATAACCGCATAGTTATCGGATACTTATCAATGTACATTATTATCTCGATGATTTGCAACCCTGAATACTATATAAGCCTTCATTAATCACCCTCAAATACAACGCGCATATCAAACAACACCACCTCAACATAGGTGAAAGAACAAACCTATCATAAAATTAAATTACACGCATCCCATATTACCATAATACAAATTATGTTTTAATGACCATAATTCGGTGTGAGCCACGATTAATGATAAAAGGAACAACTAAGCCGACCGCTCACCTTTTAACATAAAAATAAAACAACACAAACACGCGAACGCATAGTAATAAAGTAAAAAATAAAATAAAAAAACAACCAACTCCATAATAAGAAGCGGAAAAATAAAAATAAAGCGAGGGACACAACACAACACACGGTCGCCGGGAGGCCAGGCGGCAAAAAATAAATAACCGTCGCTCGCCGGCGCGCGAGGAACAAACGGACTTAAAAATAATAAAAGGAGCGTAAATAAAAGCGTAAAAGGAACTGGCGTGGCGTGTAGACGTTGTAAATGGAGCTGCGGACAATCGAGCTCGGGAAAAATGTGCCCGGGAATTTAGTGAATGTAACCACCGCTGGGGAGATAGGTTGCGGTCGCGTCGTTGCTTCACTGCGTAATGGGCGATTGCTCTTAATAACGTAATACGCGGGGATTACCGCAAGAACACCCCGAAGAAATTCCCTCGCATGACGACACAAATTACAAGTAGGTTACAAAATTATTGCACAATTTTTAATGCAAATGTTTATGAATACTGTGCCATAAGCTTCAGGGTTTGAAATTTTCAATAAAAGCACCATATATTTCGTTTAAATAATATAAATGACATGGCGCCAAGTTGTTCTTGCTTGTTATATTGCTTATTTCTTATATATATAAAAAAAAAATATATACATATATATATATATATACATTAACGTGTTTAACATTTGTGTTATGACTTTATAAGAACTCGACATCGACATTAACATTTAAATTTACTAAACTAACCTGTATGTATTAACATATCAATAAAATCTTACACACCTCAAAGCTTTATTCACTACTTACGGCTGGGCTTTATTAAAACTTAGTTAAAAATTAATTTACACCAATATTTTGCCGGAAAGTATATTATTGCGATTTAAAAACGATTAATTTGTTGCCAAGATATCAAAGTTTTAATAAGTAAAAAGAAACATTGTTCATTAAAAGAGAACAAGGTTCTTGACTGAGTAATAAAATTATGTTTTTCTTATTTCATATTCAACTAAACGAAGCAACTAACATAAATTATTCAGCGGATTTTTTATCTCAAATTGTAAGTACTAATTCCAAGCAGATCATGATGAAAATAGACCTCGACAATAGAATATGCAGTCGCCCTTAATAAAAAAAAATGCCATAAATTATCGCCGAAAAGGTCAAATTAAAATACAATGAAGAGTTTTTGAGTGGCAGTATTGTGGAGATTCGAATGAAAGGCCCGCATACAGCGGCGACCGCTCGTAAGAACAAAACTTAAACAGAATGCGTTTAAACGGACGTAAAAAGAAATACGTATTCTCTTTTCCAATTATTGAATACGTCTGCCCAACCCATGTCTACCTGTGCGCTTCGTGGGGCCGGACCGTCTTTTGTTGGAATACGAAAGCAATGAATGAACCGCATTTGATAAAATATATAAAAAGTCGACCAGAAAGTTTTAAATTTATATCGTTAAAAAGCGAAAAGAATATTTTGATAGTTTTGTAAACTATCAGATATCTATTATGGTTATTTTTTAAACACATTTTTAATTTTTAAAGATTTCAGTTCAGTAATTTTAGGGGATTTTTAATTAAGACTAATTAGTAAACTGATACGTCATTTCATTTTAAGTAACTTTGCATCGGTGTACATAATTAGTAAATTTATCAAAGGCCCATGACCAGTTGCAGACTTTTGATATAGGTACTGTAACGGTAAACAACAAATTTATAAACATTGTACATATCTAACTATATGTTGTGATACGAACATAAAAAATCCGTCACAACACACGAATCAAATCAATGGAACCACTGCCCAATGTATAAAATGAATAGAAAATAAAGTGGTTAATGCAGATACTGTTATAAAAAAAGTTTTTATGGTTAAGACACAACCTTACTTTTCGTTTTTTTTTTTCAATTTTTAGATTATTTATCCAAATAAGTAACCGTTCATTTCGCAGAAGTGACAGAAAAAAAAATCGATGTCAACTGTTAATTAGCGATATTAGAGAGCGTCACGAAAAGTGTAAATAAACTCAGCAGCTCCGTAAACAACTAAACACCATTCGCACTTACAAACCAAACAAGCGTATACAAATATTTAAACACCGTATACCGCCCCAATGTTAAAACTTTTCAACATAATTTATGCCGAGTAATGATAGCATTAAAGATCATAAAGGCAAAGCCTTTGATATTTATTGCGTTTTGCGTCGTTTCGTTTTTAAGTAAACAAAAGATGCCTGTAAAATTAATGTAATCTAATGAATCAGAAAGCCCGGTTTCCTTTTCTGGGAAACACGCTACCACCCGCCACATGTCATTGATTTACTTCGGTTTGGGGAACTAAAGATCAATTTTTATATGCATCATTTGTCAGTCCTATTTCAAATTTAATTTATGATCAAAAAAAAAGTTATAGCTCACATTGTAAGTACCACAGGCCAGGCAGTGGCGAAGCTAGAGCTCCAAGCTAGGGCAAGCCCAAGATATAAATTGATAAAAATATAGATCGTTGATTTTAGCAGTTTTATAAAAATACACCAATCTTGATCTGTCTCCACGCTTCAATTTCATATTCAGTGCTGTCAAGGACGTGTTTAACAAAGCACACAGAAGGCATACCACTGCTAGATAAATTGTATTACATATCAACATTTGCATAGCTTCCTTCGGTGGCTTTGAAGAAAGCCGTTTGGGTTTGTTTAAGCGAAAAAAAAAAATATTTACATCCAATACAATACATGAACAAAAGTAAAACACGAACAAAGTACAAACAAACTATGTACAAAATTAAAAACAAAAACAAATTATTTACATTCTAATGGATAAGAGATAAGATAAGATAAGTGGAATCGTCTCGCTTTCTTATGGAAAGATATTACAGTTGGTGAACGTTTCAATTGTACCAATAACTGTTTTTAATTGCGATAATTGATAAGTCTGAAATACACTCTTAACCTTGTGTATTATCTCAACAAAGTTTAAAGATTTCCTCTCCGATTATCACTTTAACACAGTTCAATTCATCACAAGGAACACTATTATCCTCCATTTTCATTAAAAATCTTAAAAAAGCATAAATTTTGAACTCGTAATATTAAATCGCTTAAGATAAGCACACAGAGAAAATAAACATTGAAACGTGAAAATGAACTTGCAAACGTATTGCCCGCGCGCCTCCGCTTTTAACAAATGTATTCCAAAAAGCCTGGCTTTAAATCTCTATACTAAAATATACAATCGTAGTTATATTTCATTATAGAATATTTTGCCATAGGTTAGAAAGAGAGCGATCGTCTTCTCGAAAGCCCCGTAAAAAAGCCCACGCGAGCGAGGGAGACAACTATTAGCTCTATTAAAACTCATTTTTTATGACGGCAGCAGTATCGCTAAGGCAATACGAGGTCATCGGTCGACACGTGTCGAACAGTGGAGTGCGCGGGAAATTTGAAATAGCTTGAAACATTTTACGAGTTATTTTATTAGTTGATATTATTGATTGATTCAGGTTTAATAAGGCAAGCCCGGCTTTTCGGCTTTAATGGAAGCTTCGCCACTGAGGCCGGGTCTCATTTCATGTGTTTCCTCAAGACGTTTTCCTTTACCGAGGACCACGCGGTAAATAAATTTACAAATATAAAATAAATAATTTCTCGACTTGAGCCGCTTTATTACAAGAAGTTTTTTGGTTTAACTAGAGTATGTTTCAATAAAGAAGTTTCGTGTAAAATATTATGTAAAATAAAATATAAAATACCAATGGATTTTGACAGCAAATATCAAATTTCGAGAAGACTAGCATCGTGGCTAAAGGATTTCTTTCGTGACAAAGACTCTTCTTAAAGCCCCAGACTATCAAACAAACCATTTTTGGACCGACGAAACTGTACACAGATATGTATTTTTTCATTATTAACCTACTTTATTTAGGAATGAGTGTGAAAATCTACACTTGCAAGGTGAATGAATTGATGGCATCCTGATTATGACGAAGTATTGTAGGCATACTCCAAATGCTTTGTTTGTACAAACTGATAAGTGTTATCTCTATACAAATGTCGGGAATTATTTCGGGCCGAGCACTGACTCAAGGCACTACACTTATCAGATTAGTTCTGATACGTAAATCCATTTCACTCACAAGATACATTTCCGGGGATAAATTTT